TTACTACTATTAAAAACACGCCTAACAAATGTTAAATACCATAAATTTCAAATAGATTAATCATTAATTTTTATATTAACAGGTTGTGGTTCCTATCGTACTTAACCTGATCTTAATATCCATGTATATCTTAATTGGAGCCATATTATTCGGTTTCTGGGAAGGTTGGGATCTCTTGTCTGCTGCCTATTTTACCTTTGTAACCCTGACAACCATAGGATTTGGAGATTACACACCAGGAAAATCCTTCTTAAACTATAAGGATGGAGTATGTAAGTTAATTTTATTATTATTATTATTATTGCTTAATTAAAATGGTATTTTGATGAGTTGTCATGTAACAAATAACTTGTTTCAAAACAGCCGCATCGATGACCATGGTTGCAACGTGCGCGTACGTGTTGCTTGGCATGGCTTTGGTCAGTATGTGCATTAATTTGATGCAGGAGCAACTGATCGAGAAAGTCAAGTGGTTCGGAAGAGAAATTGGACTCATAAAAACACCCACCGAAGAAAAAAGTAGATCGCCTTCCATACATTCTTCCGATACTGGACAAAAATACTAAAAATGTGTGCGAAAATGTGTGCGATTTTAAATACAATATTTTTTATTAGATGTTTTTCTAGCACAATAAACGAGTGCTCATTCAAAATGAGAGTGCTTCAATTTGTAAATATGTGGATGTGCCTTATGTCACGTTTGTTTGATCAAAATCATCACATTGAGTTAACTCAATATTGCCCTCCCCCACGATTGTTAAGAATTTTAAACAGATAATTAATAAAAATGGAATGTTTGCATAATGTCTAATTTTTTAAAATTATGTTTGTAGTGTAAATTTTGAGTTTTGTAGTCAATAAGATCAAACGTAGGCCATTTGTTGAATAAGTAAACGTGTGTAACGAGTTTAAGTGACTTATATTTGAGTTTAAAATTTTTATAATATTCTAGAATGATCTAGAATGAAGGAATCTAGATCTGTCATTACGAACAACCAGAATGGTCCTGATATGAGGCCCCCAGGGCTTTGGCAAGGTAATTTTCTGCCCGGTGCTATTATGCAACCCCAGTTAAGCCGAAAAGATGGTACTTTATATATTGCTAGTTTGCGTAACATTAGCATTTATTATCTTAATAGCAAGTGTACTGGCAGTTATGGAGTATGTTGATACTCAGCAGGCATGTTAATCATTTTTCAGATATTTCAAAAATTTAGTACAGTAAGTACAGTAATTAGTAAATAAAATAAATTTATTTAATTTATGCCTCTTAACAGGAAAATTAGAAAAATCTTTCTTTATAAACAATAGACTCTCTTTACAGTATTATGCTATGTTTGCAAATTGCTATATTTAAATGTCGTACTTCATATCATTATGGTATGATTTTAGTTAAAATTGTTATTTGTAGGAACGAATCTCAATTACTGACATAGAATACATGGGAAATAAGGCTCGCTTTATGGCGGTTTTCTAGGAACCATTAGGCAGTAGAAGCGAGAATATATTGCATAAAAAAAATTTAATATAAGCGAGGTTGCGGCCGAAGTTTTCATCTCTAAAACGTGAACGTCGAACGTCGAGCGGCGCTATCTTGTAAGCGGCGCTCGACGTTCGACGTTCGCGTTTTAGAAATGAAAACTTCGGCCGCAGCCTCGCTATTAACTATAGACGAACGGATGGCCGAAGTGATTAAGCGTCAGTCTGCCGCTCTGGGGTACCCGAGATCAAATCCCAGGAATTTTTCATGGACGGATATATTGGGCCACGTCCTTCACCATCCGGCTGTCTCTATTGTGGATCTGGTAAAACCGATGATTGGCCTGAAAAAAAAAGGCTTTCTTAGTGCCCACAGGCCGAAAAGTTAATATATGATGAATTGTGTTTTGTTATTTTCCATTCTAATATTTCATTAACATGATCATTACACGAAAATTACAAAATATATAATTATTAGTAACAGTAATTATCTTGTTTAGATATGCACCTTGATACTTTAATTGTGTTATTTGTACACATAAATATAAATTTCAATTTAATTTTATATAATTACGATACATTGTTAATTGTATACAAAATTTACAAAAAGTAATAGAATGCATTGAAAAGAAAAGGAAAAAATGCTATAAATTTCAAATCGAAATAAATATTTTAAATTTAAATTGAAACTCCGACAAATGGCTGACAATCACGTGATATATTACTCTAGTGAACATGATAATTCACCAGAGGGCCACTTATTATTTTAATCTGGTAGCCCTCTAATGGTGATCACTGAAATTAACATCAAATAATTAGGCATTGACGTATATTAATGATAATTTCTTTCGAGTCATGCTAGCGTCGAGTTTTCCTTTCCTAGTTTTATTTCCGATTGTTTGAGTAATAAAATTCACAAAATTCGAATAAATTATGGATTTATTTATTTATTTTCTGCGCATATTAATAATCTGACGAACTTATCACAATTTAACTCCATTTCAATTCTTAAAATATTCATTTAATTAATCATGTAACCGATAATCAAAATTTTAGTAAATTACCTCTTCAATCTAATAATTAAATCATTATCTTTCCATCAAAATTAAAGCTTCTTATTTTAAATTAATGGGTTTAAATTTATAGATTTTTGAGGCTCTTGATCCAATTTATTTAGAAGCATTTCATATAAACATATGAAGAAAATGGTAAGGAACAGTGAGGTGAGGCCTCTGAAAAAGTCAGGTCTTCGGTCATAGATGGATATGACCATGCGTTAATGAAGCACTGGTTCTATCTGGATTTATTCCTTCTTTGTGAGGAATTTCGCTATTTATTGAAATGAAAAGAGCCAATTCTCAGTATACCAAAGTATATAAATATTCAAATTCACGTTTCTTTATTTATATTAACTTATCTCCGATGATTGATTGATAGGAAGGAATCATATACATGAATAAAAGATATTATTTTCCTTTATTTACTATGCAAAAACACGAATTTTGAAGGTTTTCTTTGAAAATATATGACCTGACATCGGATGAATTATACAAAAAGTATAATTATTATTTAATAATATAAATATCTCAAACAAACTGAATTAATTCAGGTTGTTTATCAATTGAATGAGGTTCAAATTAAGACCACTGATTTTTAGAAAATTCTATACAGACTGCTATTGTTTATCAATAAGAAAATTGCTTTGAGTCGTACATTTTGCTTCAAAAACTACAAAAATCCATTAAAATTTGAATTTAGAAAAGCTAAAAACCGCTACTTTACTCTGTGAAGTTTGCTTCCATGCACGTCTTTGCTAGATGCTTTTGTGTGATAAACTATATATACATACAAAACACATATTCCTGTCAATGGCTTTTACAGTCAAGCCTCAAAAAAGGCCACATCTAAACGGCAGCCATTTTTTTTATGTTCCCGTCAATGGCCGTTGTTCAGATGTTTGACTGTACACTTACATTGCTATGATTCTTCGATACGATTCGTCAATTAGTTAAAACGCCCATCAAACATATTTCAATAAGCAAATATATATGACCACAAATAAGTTAACTTCGTATAATCGAGTCGAGCGAACCTCATTTATAAATATTTCCTATATTTCATTCTCATGAATATTACTGATATTTAGCTTATTTGGATATATAAAAATTGCTTCATCACTGACATTCGTTATTCCTTATTACAATTTATTAGTCGCTTGGCTTCTTTTAAAAAATTAAGCATGGCGCCAATTTAAAAATTAGTTTGTATTCTGCCAGATTGTATATATATATATATATATATTTTGCAACTTTTATAATTGTTTTCGGTATATTTTTGTCAATATTAATAGCTTTACATTGATTTTTAGAAATTATCTTATTTTATTTATGAATAATAATTAAACTTATTATCCAACAATAATTATTCAAGAGTAGCCATTTCTGAATCGAATGAGCATGCGCCAATTTTAAAAATGAGCTAAAATGTTGCCAGATTGTACATTTATTTTACAATATTACGTAAAATATTTTTTGTATTTTTTTAAAATCAAAACTTTTACTTTAATAAAGGTCAGCTTACTTTTTAAATTATTATTTTTTAAACAAAAATTAAGTTTGCAATTCGAAGTATCAGCAACAAAAGAACAATCTATACTTATCAAAAATAAAACTGTCGGCCATTTTTCAGAAATACTCAACAAAAGTACTTACAAAATAACCTTCAAACAATGGCCACTTTTTAAATATTTCTGTAAGTGGCCGTAGTTTAGAGGTTGTACTTTATATACGTCGTATATCTTTTCAGTATAATTCATAAAATTTAAATGAGTCAGTTCGTTATTAGTATATTTTATTAATTATCGAAGTTAATAATCAGCGATTCGCTACATAATTAAACAACGTTGAAAATTAAATCATAGCTTAATAAATTTAACCAATATTAATGAATGTGTAATGAACTTAAAATTAATAATTTTTAGATTTATAACCAATATAATCGATTTTTTAATAATGCAATTAGGAAAAATCCGTTAAAAGTATCATTAAGAAGCTCTGTGATAAGACTTTGTTTCGGGTAAATACGTACGAAAGAGCGTCATTTAAGTGCCTTTGAATGAAAGTTGATAGAATAAATCTTCTATAACTCAAAAATTAAAAGCATTTTCTACCTCCAGGGATAAACATATCAGGAAATTATTAAATATGAAAGATAAAATTATATATTATTTAAATACATTTTTAACCGTTTGACTCTATCATATCTCGTTATAATCCACGACTTTGATCTACACTTGAAAGCTGGAAGGATGGTGAGTCATTTAAGGAGTTAACATTCCGCTCTGGACCAGTAGCGTAGCGTAGTGGGGGCGGCAGGGGCGGCCCGCCCGGGCGGCACTTTTTAGGGGGCGGCAAAATTTCACAATAAATAATAATAATATCTTGTAAGAATTTGAACAATTTTATTTCATATTTTCGTTCACCTACGACTCGGACCGATTGAAATGAGCACGGAATAGTGTTACCATCCATCCATCCAGATAGTCCGGAAATCGACTCGCCGTCCGGGGATATCATGCGCAACCTGTTGACCTTTTTTTTGCTAGTACAATTTATTCGTACTAGCAAAAAACCGTTTAATATCCAATATCCAATATAGCTAGGTCACTTGCGTTACTCCTATCCAAGTCTCCCTAGTCGCTAACTGTAACTGATTTAGAACCAACATGCACTGCACATTATTCTTCGCATTGCAAAATGACATACACATGCGTCAGGAACTTCTATTCGAACAAACCTCACCTGCCGTCCCGGTCAGCGATTTTAATAAGGTGGCAACACTAGCACGGAATTTTTCATTACTTATTTTGTGACGAAATTGAATTTTAGTCTTTTAAATTGAGATACCTAAATAAGGGGGGCGGCTGACACCCACGCTACGCCACTGCTCTGGACAACCTGGAATCGAATCCAGGAAGCAACACCATGCATTTTTATGGGCCCCTGCTCCCTGGTTCCTTACCACTAACTTTTTTTGTGGGCCTGGTCATATTCAGAAAAGGCATTATATAGAAAAAGGCTCCTATAGGGCCCACAGAGCGAAGAGTTTAAAATAAGGAAAAAATCACATTAATTACGATGAGGCTTTTGATCAATTAAATCAGTTTTACTTCCCGGTTCTGTTATAAATAATAGAGAAAAAATATGGTGATTGGTAAAAAATGACCCCTTCCCCAAAATTTTTACATTTTTAGATTCAGGACAGCTTGAAACATCAATAAATGCAAAAAATTCGGGAATTTTTTCTGTATACATGGATGTTGGTGTGTGAGGAGGCACGATTTTGTTCACCCTATTTGAAGCTTAATAACTTCTGTATCTTTGTCGAAAA